GACATGGTTTGTGCATAAATTGATTAACTCGGTTGACAGCAAAATGAAATGTCTGACCTAGTGTTGGTTAGGTAGATAAATTTATCAACCTCCGATAGACAGTCGAATCTCTAAAATCCTTACCTTTAGCAATAAGCTTCAGGTTTGAAATCATGATTGTTGATGTCGGCTTGCACTTTAGCATCCTAGTGTTTGAGAGAAGATTTAGAACGTACTTCCTCTGAGAAAGAACAATATCACTACTGTTATGGACAAACCTCAATTCCAAGAAAGTATTGTAGAAATTTAAGGTGCTACACATCGAAAGCCTTTCCAAGGTCAACCTTGACCTTGGCAGTCCCAGAAATGTCATTCCTAGTAATAATAATATCATCCACATATACTAAAAGGATGACACACTGTCCTGAAGTATTCTATCGAATGAAGCATATATGATCAGAATGATATGTGGTGAACCCTAAACGTAGAACTACACTAAACTGAGAGAAACGGCCTCGTGACTATTTCAGCCCATAAAGAGACGTACGTAGTCGACACACCTTCCCAACATACTCCCCCTCACCATGATAGCTAGATGGTGCATCTATATAAATAGTCTTGTCCAGATCACCGTGAAGAAACATATATTTTACATCCAACTAATGAAGGGGCCAAGAGTATGAGTTAGCCAGAAAATAATCAGCCGAACAATAGTCAATTTTGTCACGGGGGCAAAGGTAGCACTAAAATCACAACTTGGTACTTGAGTAAAGCCTTTTGCCACAAGTCTAGTCTTGTGACGATCAATACTACCAATCATAAGAAACTTCAAGGTGTAAATTCAGCAACAGCCAACAGGCTTCACCTTTGAAAGTAAAGAAATAAGATTCAATGTATAATTACGTTGAAAAGCGTCCATCTCTGTCTGCATGTCAAGATGGGCTCCCGCATAGTATCCAAAATTGAGTGAAGAGTTGGTGTATCTGATAAGGTCATACTATAAATTCAAAATGTAAGAGACAGATTACAATAAGAAACATAACTAGAGATTAGAAATAAAATTCTAGCAGCCCAAACATAACAAGCAATTGGACGGCGATCACGCTGCGGATAACGACACCCTAAATCATTATATTCTACTAAAAAAGTCTCATTAGATAAAGGAACCGACTCACCACATGCAATCTCATAAATATTAACAACAAACGCATCAATATGTTAAACGAACTTATAAATATTATGTACATCGCCTGAGATAGAGGGGCCATCATCAGGGGAATGAGAGCGAGGACGATGAAAATAAACCTGCAAAGGAGGAGAGATTGGTGACTCTGTAGTGACGAGCGACTCTGGAGGATAGTGACTAGTGGTTCTGGCTCTTATGGTAAGGAAAAGTCAAAGGGAGTATCATTAATTGAAGGAGTAGAGAAAATTAAAGAAAATGCTCAAGAAAGTTAACATCTAAACTATGATACATACGATGCCTAATAGGATCATAACACCAATACCCTTTAGACTGATGACAATAGCTCACAAAGACACATTGTTTTTCATCAAGTTTATGGCGAGTAGTAGAACGATCTTGAACAAAACATATACAATCAAAAACACAAGGGGATCGAAAAGTGTCCGCTCAGGGAATAAGACTTGTAAGAGAGTCCTATGTTGAAGAATTCGACTTGGTGTACGATTGCACAAAAATGTAGAAGTCAAAACAGCAAAATGTCAATAGAATTTTGGCATTCTCATACCTCTAAGTATACAACGTACCATCCCTATAAGACTTATTTTTTCTTTCAGTAATTTCATTGTGCTCAAGAGTATATGGACAAGTGAGTTGCTGAAGGATACATTGAGAAAAAAGGTGAGACACTAAAACATCAGACATATTCTTTGGCATTATCCAAATGAAGTGCATGAACAATGACATCAAATTGTGTCTTAAACATCTGTAGAAATTGAGTGATGACATGGAGTACATTAAACTTTCTATGCAAAAGGTAAACTTAAGTATAATGGGTATGGTCATGTATAAATGTCATATAGTATTGGGTACCTGACAGAGCAGTAAAAAAGGGGGTCCTCAAATATAAGAGTGTATTAGATCAAATAGCCTGGGTGATTGGTGCATGCGAGGAATATAACTGTTTTTAACATATTTACATAAGGAACATATAACACAGTCAAGTTTTTCACCAATACAAGCATTACTCAAGATAGGAAATAACATATATAAATATTTAAAATTTGTATGCCTAAAACAGTTATGCCACAACTGAACATTTTGTGAGGAAAAATCATAACAAGTACTAGATAAAAATACTAACATGCAAGCTAGACACAAATAAAGATAAAGTGCAGGTGATGTAGGTGTAGGAACTGGTAAAATTGGAGGTGGATCGTCTAGATAATACAGTTCATCTCTCTCATGTCCTTTGATAATAATCCTTCTAGTACTTAGGTCCTGCAAATAACACGAATTAAATAAGAATACAACCGCACAGTGAAAATCTCTGGTTAACTGATGTATAGATAATAGATTCATGGCTAGCTTTGACGCATAAAATATCAAACGTAACGTAAAGCCATCTAGAAGACAGACTGTACCCTTATTAACAATAGGGGCATGTGTCCTATCTGTTAACTGAATTTGCATATGTAACTGTTCATCAAAAGTGGTGAAGTGATGAACCTTACCTGTCATGTGATCATTCACACCCGAGTCCAGCATCCAAAAGGGAAACAGACTAGTTCAAGCATGGAAGACACAAGGTATAGTTGTACTAGTTGTAGCAGTAGTAGTCAAACCCTGAGAAGTCAAGGTAGACATAAATATATCTAATCGAGAAGTGATAGCCTCTATATCACTCTGCCAAGGAGGAGAAGTAGTAGGAGTAGCAACAATGATAATATCGATTTATTCACTGATAATATTTTGGCGACTTGGGATTAACTCAGATAACTCGATTGAATTGTGCGAGATTCGGGATTTATAGGTATCGTGTAACGATATCGTCTCGGAATGTGCCAAGTCGGATACGACTCGATCGATTTATATCGGTATCGCTTGATACTTTAAACTATGTTATCTGCTCCTACCTTTATATATTGTGATAACACCAGTGCCATTTAGATTGTTCACAACTCGGTGTTCCATGAGCGTACAAAGCATATATAGATTGATTGCCACATTGTGCGTCAACATTTTTAGGACACTATTTTCCTCTGTTATCTTCCTTTTACTATGCAGTTAGCAGATTTCTTCGCAAAGTCTCATACTATTATTAGTTTTTATTTTCTTCTTAGCAAACTCTTGATGTTTTCTACTACTACGTCATGAGTTTAAGAAGTGTTAGAGTACTTAGCATATTTAGTCTTAAAGGTAATTTAGTTATTTGCTTTCTTTTATGTTGCCCTACTATATAAGAGTCTTTAGTATGTATTTTTCTATTAAGATGTAATATAGATTAGTCGTTCTTCTAATAATATTTTCTTTTTTTCTTTTCTCCCTTCCTTTGATCTAAATTAACATTGGGTTGGTTCCTCACCTGTTGCTTCTAAAGATTGCCTTTTCTCAATTGGATGTTGGTCCAGCCTATTATGAGGATCTCGTATCCAACAACCCAACTGCCAATACAATGGGCATCAACATCCTTTATATAGGGGAGATATGAAGCTTACCGTTTTATTATTAAAAAGGGAAAAGGCTTTTTAGCTAGTATACATGATCGTATTTTCCTTTTCCTTTTACTAGTAGAGGGTCTCGTGGTTTCTATGTGGTCCCGTTCCCCAGTTCTTTTCTTTTAGTGCTTCGACCTGAAACGATATATTCTTGCTAATCAAGTGGATAAGATGGTTGCGCTCTAACTCACTCAAGAATGAGACAACAGTGGTCTACCAACAAGAGCACCACCGCGACGGTAGTGTGCATCCACCTATGGTAAGGCACCACCCTATTGTGCTGACAACCAACCCCAATGGCAGCCTAGTTATCCTCATCAAACCACTTACTGAATGTTTGGCTTCCCAACTAGGAGATGATTCTTTTGTCCTTAGATCAATGAAGAAGGGAGAAGTCAGTTAATTCTTCCAAAGAATCAGAGGCAAAGCGTTATGCTGGGGTGGGGGGGGATAGGAAAAGAAACGGCGCCAAAGAAAGAAATTGAGGTTCCCAATGGTTCTCCACGTTCAACGAGATGCGCCAACCTTGGGATGTTTTACTCCTAACTACAAGGTTCTGATATGGAGCTTAACCCGAGTCTCGGTTAAGAACGATGATGATCTACGTTTCACACGATACACAATTCCATGAATAGTTTCATTTGACATTGTGATGGAGGACATAGCTTACGATCATTGGCTTTAATCATGCCACTAGGCATTTAATTAGGACATTACAAATGATTTGAATACTTTGTTGCATCTCTTCGATATGAATACAATAATGATTATAGTGATGCCCTCTGATACCTATTGGTACATTGGGATCCAATTAGTCATGGACATTGTAAGATGTTCTTCTTCGCGAATCCCATCATTCTCCTGATTGGAATGAGTAGGCTCATCATTTCACTTTTACTTAGGCCCACACCAAGGCAGTTGGGGGGACTTGTTGGGCTCCCCTACCTCTCCAAAAAAAATAAAAAACTGAGTGAGTTTCCAATCATACAACTCAAACCATTCTTAGATGTCTTGAGAGGCATTCTTTCCCTGTTTGTTGGGTTGGTTCATGCATGCGCAAATGAGCACCATTCGTAACAAGAAGAAACTATAACCAATAGAGTCAAACACTTGACTAAATCCATACGCAAAAGGAACGTTGTTTTGGTTGATTCTTTCTTTTCCTTAATAGTAAAAAGGGCATGATACGTTGTCTGTGCTTTTCGTACCACCACAAGAATGATCTTTCTTGGGCTGATCTTCCTCCTAAACACAAGGGATAGGGGGATGGGGGTAGGCCTATCAAAAAGGTCGTAGGAAGAGAACCCGACCACCTATTTCATTCGACATTCTGGGCCAGGAGGCCATTTGATTCAATCGACATCACCCACACCTCATTTACGCTACCTCTACACTTCTCATCTCTCTAGCTCTCTTCACACACACACACACAACACAACACAACTACCACCTAGGCACCTACAACAATAAGCACTTACAGCCCACCACCTAGCTTCTCTTCTCTCTCCGTCTTGTGACACACATACATAGCAATTGCAAGAAAATTCCTCAAATTTGCAACACCTCATGGCAAAATCCCTCAATTCTTGAGCAAAGGAGATGTGCTCCCTCAAATTTGTGTGAATTCCCTCAAATCTCACAGCAATTTGTTTGAAGAGGAAGATGTGCAAAATCCTGTGAGACCTCCTCAAATCTCACAACAATTTGTATCAAGAGAAAAATGTGCAAAATCCCTCCTCTTAGACCTCTGACTTTCTCACAGCATTTCTCGATTTTGAATGTTATGTGATTTTGCATCCATGGGTGTTGGTAATGGTTGATTGGCGGGTGGTGGTGTGTGCATGTGTATACCATTGGAGGGGAGGGACACCATGGGGTCTGAGGCTGACGGTGGGAGATGGATGCTGTGCAGGGATGGTTGGTGCTTTGGGGTGGGTGTTCTTAGGTGGTTAAGGGGGTAGGGGTAGGGGTAGGGTACAGGGGGTGGAGTGGAGGAGATAAGAGATGATCTAAGAGAGAGAGAGAGAGAGAGAGAAGAGGGGGTGTTGGACAGAGTTACGGGTTTGGGGTAGGGTCGGGTCAAGGATACACGTTTGGGTGTGATTCTGGGTCTAGGTCTAAATTTATCCTTATTTATCAAGTATCGAGTCTTCTGACCAGTCAAACATGGGGTAAAATTGTCTTTTTATTGAAACTGTTAATGCCAATGAAAAATGACGCTAATTGGGGTTGCCATGTCATTTTTGAAATGTAAGGGGGTCTCCCTTGATCTAAGTTCAAGGGACCATTCGGGGTCTGCTTGATTTTTGCCCAAAAATTAAAAAAAAAAGTCGTAGAAGTTTTATGTCAACCAGCTGTATTTTAACATTTTCATTCTCTATTAAGAAGATCCCTGAACTTGGATTCTATGCACTTAAGTTGTCAAAACAAGCAGCAAGTTTTTATATTTATTGATTTATACCTCATAATTTGGTGGCTTTGGCTTTGGCTTTGGCTTTGTTTGTGAACAATCCATCCTCTGATCTTTTTCCTGGAATTCGTGTCCGTGTCTCTTATATCCTTTTGTTCTCCTATAAGGAAACTAGCCATTGTGGCTGTTATCACTCATGCAGCTTTGGTCAAATATCGACCATTATATGTCATGGATACCAGAAATTTGTTTTAAATGCCCTGCAAATCCTATGAAGTTTTTTTTTTTTTTCATTTTTGTTGAGTGGATTTTTCTATTATCTAAATCTTGAGGTGCTGGTGGTAATTTGGGTAACGATCATAGATGTGTTCCAAAATAGTTACGAATTAGCTTTTATGTAGTACCTCCTCCTCCATTCTCTTTTTGTCATCCAGTTAGTAATTGTTGTCATTGTTCTTCCATTCACCAAGGGGCTGATGTTTTTCTGTGTTGCAGGTTTTTATCTACCACAAAGCTTTCCCAATGCCTGCACTGGCATTTAAATTCAATAGCACAGACCCGCTGTCAGGTGATGAAGTGGATGACTCTGCACAATTCATCTCATCTGTGTGTTGGCGCGGTCAATCATCTACCTTAGTTGCTGCGAATTCGTTGGGAAATATCAAGATTTTGGAGATGGTTTAACTTGTTCAATACCCTGGAGAAGCATTCATGCTCCCATTAGAAAGGAGAAACAGCATCAAGTGTTGATGAAAAAGATATCAACATAAGCAAAAGAGAGAGGTTTACACCAGGGGAATTTGGGTAGATGAGATCTACCTCATAGGATTATAACAAAAGGAAAACGAAAATCAGCAAAACAATTTTTGCCATTAGATCATATAGCGGATGCAGTTAAAATGAAGAGTGAGCGAGAATGATCTTTTTATCAATGTATTGTGTACATATGATTCAGAAGAGAAAAAGGGTGAAGATTGATATTCTTGTATATTCTGCTACAATTACAGTCCAAAATCAGTTCTTCCCAGATATTTTTCTACGAAATTATCATTATTTTTTTCACGAAATGAATCGGTTAAGCATTCCATGATGGAGCCTGGTCTCGAATTTATGCTTTTCTAAAGTATAAAATGACTTAATTGCGTGGATGACAGTGGTTGTTTGCAGATGCAAAGTTTGAAATTTAGTGGGTATGTCTCACTTTGTCATATGATTGGATCATCTCATAGCAATTAACAACTTCAACAATGGTGGAATTTGTATGTGGTGATTCAGATTCAATAGACTAGTACTATTGGACTTGGACCAAGATGAATGAGATGAGTAGAGGTGAAGGCATAGTTGTGATATATGTTTGACACACGAGTCTCAACACATCAAGACGTGTTATAAAATCGAGAGATTACAGACAAAACAAATAATATCTACACAAATTGAACCCTTTTTCTGATCTAAAATATGATAACCTTCAATTTGACATGCCACATGACGTTTCCTTTTGCCAATAAATGAAGATGATGTGAATAAGCTTATTGATATCTACAAAACTTTGGCAAAAGAAGACTTGTTGAAATATGTTTTTGTAAACAGTCCTCATGAAGGTTAACAAGCTATCTTTGATACAATATGCCAACAATTATAGTTGGGCTTGTGGAATGAACTAACCACTAATTACATTTGCCTTTTTCCACCAGCAAGCAAGAATGCAGCAATGAAAAGCCTATTTACATTGGCGTTTACGAAGGTTAGCTGGTGAAAGTATTCTATCAATAAGGAGGCGAAGCCTTTCAGCTCCTGGACCCGGTTCAAGTTTGGTGGGATCACCAACCTTGGAACAATGAGGCTCTCCAGAGCACCAACCACCAGGTGTGAAATTCCCCTTTTTTCGCCCAAGTAATATCTTGTCTATTTTTCCCAGGGCAGGATCATTTTGCTTGAATTTACGCGCAAAGGGAGCACCACTTCTGATCATTCTGCTCGTGTCATTGACAGAGAGTGTCCGAGGATGCTGTTTAGGAGGGACGTCCCAAGCAATGTAGTGCATGTCATGGTTGACAACAGTGTGAACAAATTCTGGAGCATTGCATATGACAGTCTGAAAGTAGCCTTCAGGAGAGGAGACAAAATTCGTATAGTACATGAGCAGGGTTCTAGGAAGATTATCCCATCCCCATATGGTGTATTCTGCAAAGGAACGCGAGATAACCATCCATGCTGAACCTGCAACAAAAATTGGATAGATGTAATGGTGTGCAACAATTTTCAGAATAAATTTGGACTTGAAAAAGGGGTGCAAAAATGAAGTGGTATGCAACCCGAAAGGATTCATTGAATCAGTTCTCCTCAGTAGTAATCACAAAATACTGGTTAGATCTACTATGAATAGGAAACTAAATTGGAAAATGTAAGACAATGAAATGTCACTAACAGAAACAAGATTAATGTGATTCTCGCATTCATATGTATTTTTTCCTTTGCAATGGTCAAATGAAGGAAAACTAACCAGAAAACAATTTAAAGGCTGTAGGTAGAGTTCTCTGTGGTGTAACCCAAAATAAATCTGATTTTGTTGTTTGGAAAAGCCCAGGATCTATCATCAACGGCATTGCCCTTTTATTCCTGCAAAGAGAACCAAATCTTATACTTTTCACTGTTTTCTTTACATGGGGCTACAAATACCACCCCACCCCACCCCCAAAAAATACACACACACACACAGAAGAGAGAGCTTACTCTTTCCAAGCTAAACGGCTTGTGTGCCCAATAAAATTTATCTCTCGGTTTAAATCACGAAACGTGGAAAGAAGATCTGCATATACAAGAAGCTAACCAATTCAAAAAATACATTGAACAAAGGTAATATGGTCTCTCAACCAAATATTTGCAACCAAAACATTTATATATACAAAAGTTAGACAGAGAGACTAACCATCTTGAGTCACCAGAGGATAATCTGAAGCACTGAGGTTAATAAACCAATCCCACTCCTTAGTTTTCTTGAGAAGAATAGCACAAGCATGAAGAGTATTAGAAACCATGGTAGGTCCTCTATAAGTAACGATATTAGCCTTTGTAATCATGTACACATTCCCAACCTTTGCAAAAATGGGATTCTTCTCCACCCTGCAAGACAGCTCCAATCTCTCCTCTGCTGGCGATTCTAGATCCAAATGAACAACATAATAATTCCAAGGATGATACAGCGCTTGCAGAGTTCGCCAAAGCTTTTCTAAATCACCTTTTGAACCCGAAATAAGATAAGCGAAACGAGGAACAGAAGGCTCGGGAGAAGGGATTGGAGCTTGATCAATCTTGGCCTCAACAATATCAGGGATTGTTTGATTTGGCACAACAGCAGAAGGAAGAATTGTGATGATTGAAGTGATTGTGTGTAGGGAATAGACAAGCTCCATACTGAAAGTGGTTGCAAGAAGAAGGATACATACAAGTGAAGTTATCACTATAGGAAATGCCCATTTCTTCTCTGTATTTAAGGATCCCATTGCAAATCGATATCATGAGTTCTAATGGAAAACGATTCCTACTAAATTTATAGAAGTGTCCTTCACAATTGAGTCACCTAGTGTTCAAAATTATGAATCAATTCCTTCTTGAGCTGAATTCCGTGATATGTACTCTGAATAATGCTATTTGTTAAACAACTATGACCATAAACTTAGTCTCATCCTATTAAACTAATACCGACTATGAACAGCTCAAAGTCTCCGTAACCAACTAGCCTAAAGTACTGGAATGTGACACAATAAGCCAATTTTAGCATAAACAAACTAATATTATATGCATCACATTATGTATATGCTTACATAAACCATAAATCCACACACACGAGAGAGAGAGAGAGAGAGAGAGGGGCGTGAAAAACCAAATGAGCAAAAAGAATAGCCAAGAATGTCACATCAGGAATCTGATAAGGGGAAACAAAATTGAAAAGACCATTCCATAAGTAGATTTTTCAGGAAAACGACACAACATTGGTTAAGCTGATGCTAAAATCTCGGATAATTTGCATAGCAAAAAAACAATAATGGAATAAAAAAAACCCTTCTCTACATATTCAAACCATGGCAACTGATTCTATAAACAAACTTGTCAGTGAATCCATATTAATAATCCACTATAAAAAAACAGAAAAATCAAGCCTAAAATAAGAACCCAGATGGGAAAATCAAATCAATACACAGACGCACACACATATAGAGTTGCATGAAAATAATAGGTTGTAATAAAATCAAAAGCTCACAACATACCAACACATACTCTCTCTCTCTCTTCTCATGTTTGTAACATGAGAAGAACAAAGGCACCATTTGACTGTCTTTCTTTTTATTTCGTATTATTGGGTTAAAAAAAAAAAAGTTTTCTTTCTAAAACAGAGCTGAGGTCAGTTATACAGCGATACACGAAACTGGTTTGTTTCACGCAGTTGGATGACAGTGGATGATAACATACCTCGATATTAAAAAATGAATATTAATTGTGTAATATTTATATTTTAAATAATATCTTTTTAATTATGTAATTTAACTATGGACGACTTAGATTTTTGATGTCTAAAACAATTGTAATTTGAATTATTCAATTATATCGTGTAATTAATTTATAAGTCTTATTTCCAATGAGGCATGGTCATGTTACTGGGGGTATCAAACACTTCTAAGTTCTAATCAACATCAAATTTGGAAGAAAATATTAGTCTAAGCATAAGCTTTTCGATGTAAACGTGTATCGTCATTGATTCTAATACTGAATCAAAGATTAAAATGTTATTTTGGAATGGTTAAAATATTTTAATTTTTAAGGAGATCAAAACAAATCGGTGATTAAATCGAAATTTTGATATTTTAAAATATTTTAGAATGTTTCGAGCTATTTGAATATATTTTGACTAATATTTTGAAATATTTTAAAAATAAATTTTCAATTTTTTTTATCCATTTTTCATTATTTTTTTGAAATATTTCAGAAACGTTTTTGTTTCTTAGGTGATCGAAACAATATATCTATGAAAGAAGAGAATAGAAA